CCCCCCGTTCCTTTATGCTCCTGCTATGAGTGAAACCATCCGGTATTTTCCTTTTTCTTTCTAAGCACGATCCCTTCCATCTCCATCCATGTTGCTGCAAAAGGCATGTGTTTATCTTTTTTGATTGCTGACTAATATTTCATTGTGTTTATGTAATACATCTTTTAAATCTAGTCATCTACTTTTGGACATTTGGGTTGATTCCATGTCTTTCCTATTGTAAATAAAGCAGCAATAAAAATGAGGGTGCAGGTGTCCTTTTGAATCAGTGTTTTTTTGTCTTTTGGGTAGATACTTAGGAGTAGGATTCCTGGGTCACATGGAAGCTCTATTTTTACATGAGTTTATATTTTATCAAATTATTGATAGCCTATCATTTTCTGTACTAAAAGCACCAATAACAAAAAGCACCCAAAAAATTGAGTGTACATGTTCATAATTTTATATGTATGCATGATGTATTACTATCTAAAGAAAAATAGATTAAATTAAGGAATTAAGATTTTTAATGATCTGTTTTGAAAATTTATATAAAATTGACTTTATTGTTTTTTTTTGAGGTAACATTGGTTTATAATATACAAATTTCAGGTAAACATTATAGTGCGACATCTTTATACCCTACAGTAGCAAACTGACCACCAAAGTACTAGTTTCCATCTGTCACCATACAAGTGACCCCTTTTGCCCATTTTACACTCTTACTACTTCCCTTCCCCTGTGGTATAAAAGTGACTTTTTACAAGAACTGGGGTACAGGCCAGAGGTGCAGGGGGTGAGAGGATTTACCAGAGACAGTGTGAGGAGCAGAACAGCAGATTGACTGAAACACAGCTGCTGAGGGGAGCAGTAGGTTGGTCAAGAGAGGTCTGCCACACCATGTGGGTCACCTCCCTAGCTTGGGATCGAACTCTGCTGCAGTGGCTGTGGGCAGCTTTGTAGTGCTGTGTGTTTACCTGCTGGGCCACCAGGGAGGATCCAAAAGTGAATTTTTTAATAGGAACTTATTATATTTTTTTCCTTTACAGGTTTTTGATGAAGTTGTGAAGATCTTTGACAAAGAAGGCTAACTTTAAACCTGAAAGCATCGTAGATACCATGCTTGAATATTGCTTTGATAGCTGCTATCACCACCCCTTTTAAGGCAATTCTAGCCTTTCATAATTACATCTCAGTAAATGGTGGGAAAGTATGTAGAAAGACAAATTACATTTTTTTTTCAAATTACATTTTCTTCAGTTTTTTTTTTTTTTGTTTTTGTTTTGGTCTTAGATGTAGACAGTAAATTTGGGTCTAATTTATCTTAGCTATGGTGCTTGCAAAACAGGAGGATATTGGCTATTGTTTTTATTCGAAAAGAATATCCCTTTTATAATTTGTGCCTTTGTGAGCAAAACTTTTTAGTGTATGTGTATATCCCTTTAGTAGTTACAACATATTAAGTGTAGGGATACCCTCTTCCCCTCTTTCTTGCAGGTTTTAAATTTCCAACCTACTAAGTGAATTTGTGGACCAAATTCCAAAGGAAATTTTTGTGTAGTTAGTTCTTGTACAATGTGTTTGGTAAACAAACTCACAAAATGAATTCCTAGAAGTGTTTTAGTATTTATCAAATAACTGACCATTTCCTATAGAGCGGTACAGAAACGTTGGGAGGCTTTGTGTTATACCACAACTTGTACAAAGTTGTGTGATAGGGGATATTCTTTATTCCCGGGGATGGGATTTACAGGGGGGCTTCAGAGCCTGGGAGAATTGTCAACTTTATTCTGACATAAATCTGAGGGTAAGGAGCAAGGACCTACATCTAATAACACGTATTCCTTAAGAGTGGAGCCTTGAAATGTGTATATTAGATGGATGGTAAAATGATTCAGTTGGCATTTTAGTAACACTTTAAAAAATCTTTTTGGTTTGTTTTCTAGACTAAATATAGGATTAGTAAAAAGAAATCTAATGGTTAAATTTCCCATTTGTATTTTATTTTCTTGAATACTTTTTTTCATAGTTGTTTAAGAAGATTTAAAAATCATTGCACTTTGGAAAAAAAATGATAAATATATCTAATAAATGGTTGATTCCCTTTCTGGCTACTTTTATTTAGTAAATTGTTTTGGGGCCATCATGTTGAACCACTGAAAGATACAGCATTTTAAAGAGTGTATAGAGACGTAGGGAATTTTCTATTAAACCTATTGTTTCTTTAAAAATTTCTGAGAAATTAATTTTTGCCTTTTTCTGCCATCACAAATACAAAGTGGGGTCCAAGGTTCTTGACATGATGTTTATTAAAATGTTTCTCATTTTCAACACTTATTCTGTCTTTCAGGGTTCAATCAGGCAAGAAGTTTTGTCTTTGTATAATTAGATTTTATATTTAAAGTTATTAGGAATATCGAGGGTAATTTATGGATGTTATGTTATAAAAGACTCAATTGTTTTTATGTGTGATTGTGTTATGAAATTCACTTATTAATGATAAATTTCTTAACATATTGCCATTAGAAAACAAAATATCCATAAGTACTGTAACATACCAGCCACCAAAATTTGTATTGCTATTATCTTGGTTTCTGTGAAGCAATTGAAATGAATTCTGATCTAGTGATTCAGTCCAGCCAGGGTAGGAACATTTTGCTGGTGGTTTAATCAAACAGCTGTAATACTAAGCAAGAGTATGAAGAATAAGGTTTTGAGGGCATCACGCCTCACATAAGTGAAAACACGTATGAGGTGGGAATCTAAATATTTATATTGGCATTGTGAAGACAACCTAAGGTTTTTAAGAAGCCTGCTAAGGTCTTTAAGGTGCTTTGCTTTTTTTCATCGAATATCTTTCTGTGACATTTGAGAACAGAATCCAAGAAACATAACAAACGCTAACTTATAAGGCTTTGCTTTTTAAGTAGAAGAATATGTTGGCAATATTGAGTTTAGTGGTTGATTGAGATAAATCTGTCTTCACTAGTTTTGGCTATTCCTTTTGTTAAAGATAAATTCACTGAGAAGATTTTGACATTCTTGAAAGAGTCCTATGGAAACATTGCTTTTTTTTTTTTTTAATTAACATTATTTCCATTCAGTGATGTTGGATGTATATGAATTATTTAGTAAATAATCCCAATAAATTTTGTGCTATAGCCTTTGCTGTTTGCTGGTTCAGATTTCTGTTCTTTAAAGCATACGGAAGATCAAGAAGCATCATATTTAACATATGGGCCCTTGCACAGCAGAAATAGTTCAGGATCCAGGAGAATTTTCTGCTCTGTGTGTTATGTTTGTTGGCGTCTTGAATTAAGCAGAAAGCATGAGTTTATCCCTTTTCTTCAAGAAGTAATCTGGCTTGGGGCACAAATGGCCTATTTCATTACCCGCCTGCAGCGTCAATTGCTTGTCTCTTTGAGGGGGAAATTGGCAGCAGGCAGTCTGTCTCAGGATGCAGGTTTTTTTGTGGGCTTGTGGCTTTGTCCATGTAATTTAAGTGGTTGCCTGACATTCCAGTGGTCCTGGAGATAATAGTGGCAGAAAGTATTGACCAGACTAGACTAGGTCAGCATCTTTTCCCTGGAGATTTGGCCCTTCATCTTTTTTTTTTTTTAAAGATTTATTTATTTGTGCATACAGAACTGGGGTACAGACCAGAGACTCAGGGGTGGTGAAAGACTTCACCAGAGACAGAGTAGGGAGCAGAACAGGCAGATAGACGAAGTACACTGCTGAGGGGAGCAGCGGGCGGGTCAGGAGAGGTCTGCCACGCCATGTGGTCACCTCCGAGGCAGGCGGGAATCAAACTCATGCGGAAGTAGTTTCAGCTTCTTAGTGCTGTGTTTTAACCCGCTGCGCCACCAGGGAGGGCCTGGCCCTTCATCTTTAAACACACATTAGTTGCAGAAACCATCGTGTTACAAACATATTTCTCTGCCTGCCTCAGTTTCCTTAATATGCAAAGACCTTCAGGTGTCTTCTGCTGGCTAACTGCAGTCATTTGTGTATGTCCTATTTGAATTCTGTAGCTCACCTGCATATTGCAACTAAATTATATATTAATGCTTTTTTTTTTAAAGATTTATTTATTCATACAGAGCTAGGGTACAAGCCAGCAGTGCAGGAGCAGTAAGAGGTTTCACCAGCGACAGAGAGACAGAGTGGGGAACAGAACAGGCAAGTTGGACAATGTACACTTGCTGAGGGGAGCAGCGGGCAGGTCAGGAGAGGTCTGCCATGCCATGTGGGTCACCTCTGGGGCTGGGGATCGAACACTGAAGCGGCTGCGGCTAGCTTGCAGTGCTGTGTCCTAACCCATTGCGCCATCAGGGAGGGCCCCTTAATTCTTTTTTTTTAAATTAATTTATGCATACAAAGCAAGCAGGTTACAGGCTAGAGGTGCGGGGGTGAAAGGATTCACCAGTGACAGAGTGGGGAGCAGAACAGGCAAATTAACTAAAATACACTGCGAGCTTCCGAACACTGGCCTTTGACACCCAAACTAACTAGAGGAAAAGCATCTGCAGAATGAGCTACCACATTTTATCCCTAAGGTGGATAATCCAACCAGCCTTATATTGCAGGGAAATTAAGTGGCTAACTGGCATACTGTATTCATAGTAGATGCAGTCTCATTTGGTTGAGTAACAGCATTTATAAAGAAAAGGTAAAATCCAGAAAAAAACATGTATGTGAACACTTTGGGAATGCTCTGTTATTAGAAGACTTCCTAGAAGAAATAAACTCAGTAACTGCTTCCATGAAATTAAGAGGAAAAAAATTTTATGCATTGGACTCAAGATGGTGTCCATGAAGAACCCATGTGGTCTTTTGCAGACTCTGGGTAGAATTGGCCCCTCTCAGCCACTGACAACTTCTGGGACCAGAGGAGAAAGACATGGAATTGTTAAGTGATCACTTAAAACTATTGTGCCTGGCTCACTAGGTTATTTATTAGTTTTATGGAAGAATTTCCACAAGTGGCTTCAGAGATGTTGCCAGAACCTGGTTGGAGTAGCTGATCATAAAGCAGGTCATAATGATGTCATCAAAGTGTATTTTTTTTTCTTTTTGTTTACCAAGTAATGTAAGTAGGCACTTACATTATCCTATCCTCATTTGGAATAGTGGTCAAGATGGACACATTTATGTTAGTTGGGGGTGGGGGTTGCTAAAGTTTAATAGCTAACTTCAGATTGTATCCAAATAGCCCCACATCAAAATGACCAAGTTAAAATACCTATGTCAAAATCCCCCAGGTGCCAAAATAGCTGTGTCAGAATGTCTGTTAGACACAGCAAGAGTGGACTATTTCTCCCCCTGCTTAGTCTTTGGTCTGGAGAAGTACTGTTTAGGGAAAGACAGAAACTAGGACTTGAGGCTGCTACTTTTATGGAAGATGAAAGGTTCAGAATTTAAAGGATGAGGTAGGATGGAGTGGGGAAAATAAAAGAAGCAAGGAGTCTACATTATACCATAAGGCTCTTGTAGGAATGATTTATATGTCATAACCACTTCAACCAATTCTTAATGCAAAGTCTTCATAATCCTAGAATGTATTCCGGCTCCTTTCCATGAATAGTTTGTTGATGAAAATGGGTTTCAGGAATGTGATTCCCTTACCGCCATTTATCTTCATTTATCCTAACCTCGTGGTTTAGTAGTTGTGTAGATAATAGCTTGTATATCTAATCTAAGAAAGTAGCTATTTATAATCAGCTAAATCGGTGTTTTATATGAAGCGATGCAGGTAATGTAATGAAATTGCAGAAATGACAGCTAGATGCCAGTAGGAGGTATGACAATGTAGGAATCCGCCATGTTAGTTGAGCTGTCACTGAGCAGACCAAATTTCAGAGATACTGACCTCTGTGAGTAAGCTCTGAGTCTGTGGGAGGAGCCAGCACCTCCCGTCACCAGACCAGATGACAGTAGCACAAAATGATGACATTACCACAAAGTTGGCTGGCCATTCATTCCAAATATCTCGAGAGATCTAGGAATATAACGGTCAGTAGTATACAGCCGTGACCCCAACAAGCTCACCAAGTAAGTGCAAGACTAGTAATTTCTTAACAGTATTGTGTTTCTACAGTGTTTTTTTTTTTTTAAAGATTTATTTATTTGTACATACAGAACTGGGGTACAGGCCAGAAGCTCAGGGGCAGCGAGAGGCTTCACCAGAGACAGAGTGGGGAACAGAACAGGCAGATCGACGAAGTACACTGCTGAGGGGAGCAGCGGGCGGGTCAGGAGAGATCTGCCGCGCCATGTGGTCACCTCCAGGGCTGGCGGGAATCGAACTCATGTGGAAGCGGCTTTAGATTCTCAGTGCTGTGGTTTAACCCGCTGCGCCACCAGGGAGGGCCTCTACAGTGTTTTTAATGTTGACAAACTTGTATCTCTTATCTCATTTTGCTTCACCCGTGAGACAGGTTGGGATGATGATTTGCTTGTTTCCTAGATGGTTAAACTGAGACCCAAGGAGTCTAAGTCAACTGACCTGGATAGTTGTGAGTCTGGAACTGGAACTAGAACTCTGTGCCTCTCTCTAACTGGCACTGCCTACCTGTAATAAAGCCCACTTTGGAAGTGTAACCTCTAATACCCAGCACACTTCCTCAGTCCCTCGCCTGTTTAGTCTTCATTCTCTCCTTTGCACCTAAGAGCAGTTGTGAATGGCTTTACTTGTTGAACTCTCCCGCCTGTGAGTGCATGTGCCAGGAGAGCAGATATACTGTCTTGGTTTCCCAGTGCCTGCACATAATAGGCACTCTTTTTTTTTAATTGGTGGCAGCTTGTAGGGTAAAAGAATTAATAGGGCTTTTTGCTCCACTGGGCCTCTCTGGCTATTAATGATGGCCTTAATGATGTTAATGCAAAGGCGCTTGGGTGCGGACACACATGCCCAATTATGGACACCTGGAGTGTGGTGTAGGCTGCAAAGGTGTGCACGCCTGAGCCTAGAGACAGGACTGTGA